GGAGATTCATTTGGCGTTGGAACAACTCCAGTGAGATACACCTTCATTGATGACCAGGCAAACACTGCAAACTGTGATTTCAATGTCATTGTGACCGTGGTGGTGGTATTTGGGTTGGTAAGTCTCTACCAATTATTACTTTTAGTTCTCAGTACAGGCAGGGTTCTCAGGACAGCACAACACCCTCTGTGGCAATATGAAAGCATGAGGGAATTCATTAAAAAAATAATATTAGGGCAAATTCACCTGAACAAAAGTTTCTCAAAAAAACTATGACATTTTTTACCCCCCCCCCCCCCCATATGTGTTGTGTCACTATTTTCACTAAATTTGGACCAAGGGTGGTAAATTTCTTGCTTAGATGCATGAGTACGGTTCATGACCAATGTTCAAAAACCTACTGTGATGTCAAGATATGCAAATGAAGAACACCACTTTAGAATTTGATGAATATACAAATCTTTCTTGAAAAAACTACAACCAAGGTATTCTGAAATGTAAAAGCAAGTTAGATTCATTAGAAACGTTAGCCTCTTGTGCATCAGCTATTGGCAAAGACAAAGTATTTTGTCCCATATAATGACCAACATTGTATATTTGATACCTATATTCAGTTAAAAGCCATACGATTGCTTTAACCAAACAAATATGAGAAAAAATAATAGATTCAAGTTTTGTTACATTCTTAATTTCATGAAACTTGGCAATGTATGGGACAAAGACCAAAATACCTTGGACTTGTCCTATTATACATTGTATGATGATGAATAGGTTTTACTGCTTGGGAGAAGGCACTCTTTTTCCAATCATATTTGTGTGATATCAACCATCAGTGACAGATGCCGGCAATGTTCAAATAATATTGAGTTAATTGCTCAATCATAAAGTCTTAAAGTTGAAACCTTGTGCAGCTAGATTTGGATCAGCTGCAGAATGTTTCACCAGGCATCAGTATAATGTAGACGCATTTGGGTTAAGGTTACAATTACAATGAAGGGTTAGGACAGAGTCAGGGTTACAGTCAAGGTCAGGTTAAGGTTTATGGTGTCTTGTTGATGGGCTATTTTGCAGCTTTTCCTCAAAATCCATACTTATCTCGACTTCTCAAGATTGGTTTTTGTCTCAGATCATTCACACTTTTTTTTTCTTCAGCTGTTGATAACAACCCCCCAGTGGTTAACGGATGCCCATCAACGATTGTTCTGTCAGCTCCAGCAGGAGCAACATCAGCTACAGCCACATGGACACCACCAACTGCATCCGATGCCGAAACGTCCGCGACAATCATCAGTGATGCAAACCCTGGTATTTCTGTGCCAGTGGGAGGAAACCGCTTGGTCACTTACACAGCCAGTGACGTCAATGGTCCAAGCAATCTGCTCTTTCAATATCATTGTGTCAGGTACTGTAAACCCTCCTGGAGGTGCATGGGTCCCCAGAAACAGCTTCTTTTCTTCAGGATAAAACCAATAAAAAGCGATGATGTTTGGGAAATTGTGCTAAAAATCAGCCAGATGTAAGATAATTTTGTGTTATGGATGCAAGAAACTATTTTATTAGATCATGTTTAGTTTGTTTTGGGGCCGAATGAATGCTATCAAAACATTGAGGATGACTCGATTGAATACATGTTAACATGCATTATATACACCAGTACTTATTCAACACCATATGGTACATACATGTATAGGCATTAAGTGTACGACATACGGTAATCTCATTATTTTTTTTTAAGCCTTTGCAGATTTTAAATTTACATGTATTCTCTCTCTCACAAACATACACACACACACATTACTCATTCTCTTTTTCAATGTTTTTATCATGATCAAGGAATGCTGGAAAACCAGGCACCGCAGCTTTTCAATTGCCCAGCATCTGCTTCTGGGTTTTAATTCCACCAGCAAACTCAGTTGCTGTTCTCGGACACCACCCACTGCAACCGATGATTCTGCACACCAGCTTTAACAAGTACTTTCCAACCTGGCAGTCAGTTTTTTGTTGGTGTAAATCCTGTTACGTACACAGCAAGGGATGCAGCTGGGCTGGCAACTAGCTGTTCCTTCCAGGTCACAGTACACAAGGTTTGTATAGACCATGATTGTTATATTTCAATATATGTAAGCCAGTCCCATGATTTTGTCATTTTGGACCCATTCTTTAACCCATTTCTATTGGAACCGGGTGGTCTCTTCATCAAGCCAATGGGAATAAAAGAATTCAGTACTCACTAACCGTTTAAGTATCACAATAGTAAACTTAATTAACATTAAATGTATCACCACCTATAGGGTACTTTAGAGGTTACTTCTCTTGGCTCAAAATGCTATTAGCTCAATAGCAATAATGATAATAATGATTATTTGTAAAGTGCCATACCGTATTTGCCGGCGATAAGGCCGCACCGCTGCATAGGCCGCACCCCAACTTTGACATTTCAAAGAGGGGAAGAAAAAATACATAACGGACAAAACAAAATAGTCATAATTTTTCGAACACTCCTTTTTTTTTTACAAACTGATACCAAATTCATCAATATTCTTATAATTTACTGGAAGTTTAGCTAAAAAAAGTGATCGCAGGCAGATTTGGTGTCCGATATATATCCCTACCATAATTTACGGTGTAATGCTAAGGGCGCCGCTCAGTGGCGACCACCACTGGATTTGTTCTCCCATCTTTGGATTATTTGTTACTATTTTTGTCTTATTTTGTGAGTGCACTTTGACCTTCATCATTTTTCCATAACTGTGAGATTAGCCATGGCTACCTTTGGATATTTTTGATCCTCGCATCGGTGTTTTTGACTGGTTCTGCCCTGAAAGTCGAACACCAACTGAATAGCCTTGTATACACACGGACTGAGATACTCAACCTACGCGCCGCCACGGGGGATGCTCGACCCCTCGGATATGAGGACTTTCCACCCGAGATCAAACACCGTAAGAGAGGTAAGAGGGGCGGAATAAGGACAAGGCTGAGAAAGAGAGGAACAAAACCGGCCCTCCCTTCAATAATATTGGGGAATGTACGCTCGTTGCCTAATAAGATGGAAGAACTTGAAACACTTTCTAGATACATGAACGAATACCGAATTCTTGTCTATTGGCATTTACAGAAAACATGGTTGAAAGAAAGCATTCCCGACAATGTTATTGATATTCCACATTTTGATGTAGTAAGAGGAGACAGAAACAGAACAGTCAGGGAAAAGCAAAGGAGGAGGCGTATGTCTATATATCAACCAAAAGTGGTGTAATAATTGGGATGTCAAGGATGTCGTTTGTCTGCCCGATATTGAACTCATTACAGTGGGACTCCGACCTTTCTATCTTCCCCGTGAATTTCCCCAGATATTCATTACTGTGGTCTACATTCACCCCCGTGCTGATGTTGAAATTGCCAGTGAATTACTAGCTGCTAAAGTAAATCATCAAGCTTCGTTGTCCCCTGATGCCCTACATTCATAATCGGTGACTTTAACAATGTCACTTGAATGGTATTTACCAACGTCACCTAGCTAATATTCCCCGTTTTGAACAATATATTGACATACAACAAGAAACGGAGCTACCCTAGATAAGTGCTATGGTAACATTCCTAAAGCATACGTTGGAAAACCGTGTCATCGTCTAGGAAAGTCCGATCACCCAAAACATCCGCTTACTACCGGCTTACAAGCAAAAGTTGAAAAGAAGCCGGCCCGTCACTAAGCAACGGTACGCGTGGACTGATGACTCAACGGAGGAACTCCGAGCAGCCTTTGACTGTACGGACTGGGATCTATTGTTCAACTCAGCGAGCTCACTAGACGAAGCCACTGATGCTATCACAAGTTATGTCAAGTTTTGTGTCGACTCGATTATACCCTTAAAACGTTTAAAATGTTTCCCAACAATAAGCCATGGGTTACAAAGGAACTCCGGGACCTGCTGAAGGTAAAGAATGGGTGCACTCATCAATGGTAACAAGACGCGTGTCAAAGAGGTACAAACGGAAATTAAACGCTTAGTTGACTCTTGTAAAATGTCTTATAAAAACAAGCTCGAAAATAAGAAAATGAAAATAACAAACCTGCTGCTGCCTGGAAAACGATGGAGGTGATTACGGGTATAAACCAAAGCCCAAGACTCTGGGATTTGACAAACACAGGACTTTGTCGATGAACTGAATGACTTCTATGTAGATATGATAAAAAGTTTACAGTTGAAAATGACGTAATTGCACTCAGACTAAGGCAAATGTTAAGTGGATCTGAAAATGTAATATGTATCTCTGAACATGATGTTAGGCGATGTTTTGGGGCACTTAAAACTAATAAAGCCCAGGGCCTGACGGTATCTGTAACAAAGTACTCAAGCTTTGTAGGGATCAGTTAGCCGGGGTATTTAATGAACTTTTCAACCATTCACTGGAAAGGGGACATATCCCGACTCTTTGGAAAACATCCTGATAAAACCAATTCCTAAAGGGAAGAAAGTGAAGGAACTTAATGACCTTCGACCCATTTCACTCACTTGTAGTGTTATGAAATGTTTCGAAAAGATCATGATGAAGAACCTTCTTGAATACACTTCCCCCTACATTGACCCCATGCAGTTTGCATACAGATGTAAGAGAGGAGTTGACGATGCAGTACTAACATACCTACATAAGGTATATGCCCATTTAGACAAGGCTAAGACCTATGTAAGATCCACTTTCGTGGATTTTTCTAGTGCTTTCAACACTATTATCCCCCACCTTCTGATAAACAAACTCATTGATATGGAAGTCCCTCCCCAGTTAAGTCTGTGGATACAGAGTTTTTTAAGTGACAGACCACAGAGAGTGGTCTTAGGTAACGCCTTATCCTGTCCAAGAATTGTAAATACAGGGGGCCCAGGGCTGTGTCATCTCCCCCGCGCTCTTCTCCCTCTACACAAGTGACTGTCTATGTAATGTAGGAGAGTGCAGTATCATCAAATATGCGGATGATACTGTAATCACAGGTTATCTTTCTGAAGATGTAGACCCATACGTTAAGGTTATAGATGAGTTGTTAAATGGTGCAATGACCACTTCCTAATACTAAACGTAACTAAAACAAAAGAGATCATAATTGATTTTCGCCGAAACCCCTTCGATCATACCCCGATTTTGATAAATGATACTCCTGTAGAACAAGTTACAGAGTACAGGTATTTAGGTACTACTATCTCAAAGTCACTTGATTGGACTAAGAACATTGTAGACATCCAAAAGAAAGCCAACCAGAGACTATACTTTATTAGGGTAATGAAAAACTTAAGAGTAGATAGTAAGTTGATAGAACTGTTCTTTAAGTCCCTAATTCAGAGTGTCCTAACCTTCAACCTAATTTGCTATTATGCAAACGCTAAAATTGCTGCCAAGAAACTACTCGAACGTCCCAGAAAGGCAGCAAAACTTATCACAGGAGCCGATCTAACATCCATAGAAGATCTGTATCAGAAAAATGCCCTTTCTAAAGTAAAAACAAATAATGCATGACCCTCGCACCCACTGAATGAGCACTTTAATTATAACAGATCTGGAATACGCCTGTGCACACCACGAACCCAACGTGCACGTTTCCGAAGATCCTTATCCCCGACTCCATTCATCTTTTCAATTCCAAAGCAAAACGTGTTTGATTACTATGAACCTACCATGTAATGTATCAATATAAATGTATATGCCATGAATACTGCATCCAACTATTTACTAACGTTTGAGCCAGTAACTACAACTTATGTGTCATCAATAAACTTAACAATAATAACGATGCCGGTATTAATTATACTATTGAAAATGGTAATCAATAATAATAATAATAATAATAATAATAATAATAATAAATAATAATTCATGTATATTATCATTTTAAGATTTAATATGGAATAATCAATGAATATTAAATAATTTAGCTTCATATTTTGTAAAATGGAATCTGATATTATCTCTTCAACCACCATATATACAGTGGCTTACTCACATATTATCTCATTCTTTATGTATGCTTATCATAATATTCATGTTTATCACTGTCTTGTAATATTTCATGTATATATTTGTATTGTAATACTCTGTAACCAGTGGAAAACAAATTTCCTGTAAAGGACAATAAATTATTACTTCTTACTATCTAACTATTATGCGAAACTGCATGAAATGGAAAAACAAAATGGCGACTTTGGATGGATGTTCGCTGCAGCTCCGTTAAACGGTCCCTTCCTTTACTTTTGCAATGCATTGGCACGAACTTAGATCAAGATCTATCGGCAAATGTTGTGTAGGACGTTTACTTTTTCTTTATGTCAACAATGCAAGGTAAAAGTGTCGGTAAGATGTGTGGAAATGTCCTGTACCATAGTGGTATAGTTATTTTGCCGTTCGTAGTCCCATATGTGCAAATTCGTGCTGGTTTTGACTTTTTAAAAATTTTTTTTTTACTCTTTCGCCGTTAAGGCGCACCCCGACTTTTTGATATTTTTTCTTCCAAAAATACTGCGGCCTTTACGCCCGCAAATACGGTATTCATTTTGCAGTAATGCTCAGGGTGCTAAGAGCATACCCGTACCTAAAAATGATATAGTTACATGTAAATTGCAATACAGTGCACGTGAACAATACAAATTAAAGTGTACATTGACAAAAATAAGTTGACACAAAAATAATGAATGACAAAGATGAAATTGAATTGATTTAAAGCGGTTTTGACCAGGTGAGTTTTGAGAGAAGACTTGATTGAGTTTACAGTATATATTTCCTTAAAGCCTGTCTGTACTAGTTTGGCCAGGAGGATTAGACCACCCAGCATTGTCACTGGCAGGTGGTTATCTCATCAACTCAGCTCTCAATTACCTAACATAAGAAAAGAAGATCATGGGGACCAACGAGCACCGCTTAGGCATTGTTTTCTATATAGAGGAGAGCAAGTACATGTAGCTACTAGTAGTGCAGTGGGGCTTTAAGAGGCTGTGGTAATTTACTCATAGAACTGATCCAGCATGATCAAAAAGATCGATCCCCCGTGGTTGTATTGTTTGGGAACTACAGAGAGAAAAAGGTCTGAAGATCCGACTTGTTTACAAATACTATTGAAAGTGAACAAGTAGAGTTGTACTTTAAAAGTACTATGCAAACAATGAAAATCCACAAGGCCCCTAATATGCTACCAATCCGTCAAAATGAGAGAAAAGTCACATTTTTCAAATTTAATTTTTGGTTTCATTTTTATTTTTTTGATGCCTCCGCTACAAAGTAGCCGGAGGCATTATTTTTTCGGGTTGTCAGTCCGTACGTCTGTACCGTACGTCTGTCCGTACGTCCCGTTCTCGTGATCGCGTTATCTCAAGAACCGATTGATTGATTCCCGTCAAACTTGGGTCATGTATGTATCTCACAGAGCCAATGAACTGATTAGATTTTGGAGTCACGAGATCCAAGGTCAAAGGTCACAGGGCTCATTATGTATGCAAATTGGCTCGTGATCGCGTTATCTCAAGAATCGATTGATGGATTCCTGCCAAACTTGGGTCATGTATGTATCTCACAGAGCCAATGAACTGATTAGATTTTGGGGTCACGAGATCCAAGGTCAAAGGTCACAGGGCTCATTATGTATGCAAATTGGCTCGTGATTGCATTATCTCAAGAACCGGTAGATGGATTCCTGCCAAACTTAAGTCATGTATGTATCTTACACAGCAAATGAACTGATTAGATTTTGGGGTCACAAGGTCAAAGGTCAAAGGTCCCAGGGCTTGTTATGTACAAAAATAGCTTGTGATCACGTTATCTCAAGAACCAATTAATGGATTACAGCCAAACTCAAGTCATGTATGTATCTTGCAGAGCCCATGAGCTGATTAGATTTTGGGGTTATGAGGTCGAAGGTCAAAGGTCATAGGGTTCATTATATATGCAAAAATAGCTTGTGCATGCATTATCTCAAGAACTGATTGATGGATTCCTGCCAAACTAGGGTCATGTATGTATCTTGCAGAGCCAATGAACTGATTAGATTTTTGGGTCACCAGGTCAAAGGTCAAAGGTCACAAGGCTCATTATGTATCACAAATAGCTTGTTAATCACATTATCATGAGAACCAATACACAGATTTCTATCAAACTCAAGACATGTATATGTATCTTGCAGAGCCAATCAACTGATTAGGTTTTAGGGTCATCAGGTCAAAGGTCATGTAGCTCATTATGTATGCCTATAAATAGCTTGTGCATGCATTATCATTCAAATTGACAAATGGATTACAATCAAACTTGAAGTTTTGGTTTGTAAAATTTCTCTATGGCGAAGGCATCATTTTTCGACAGCACGCAGTCAAAGTTCCATCTAGTTTTCATAAGCTTCAATTTCATATAAAGCTCAATTCTAGAGAAGGAGCATTAGTGGAGATAAAAGCTTGTAAACCGTAAGACTCAGGAATGGGGTTTCAAAAAGGTGTTTTTACAAGAAAAACGCTTCCAAAGTTTAAATTCCGTTTTGTTTTTCGAGTCTTATTTTTTCAATTTACTGTCAATTTCATTTAGAAAAAGGCCCTAGCACCCATTTTCAATTTGAATAAGACCTAGTTTATTTGTTTCTTTAGGATCTCTTCTCATGAAAAAGATTAAGATTTAAAAAAAAACTTTATTTTCTTCAGAATTAAACCATTGAAGTAATGATGTTTTGGGAAATTAAGCTAAAAATCAGCCAGATTGAAGATGATCTTGTGTTTAGGATGCAAAAAACTATTTTATTGGTGTTGTTGTTGTTTTTTTTTTTTTTTTTTGGGGGGGGGGGGCAGAATGAATACTATCAAAACATTGAGGATGACTTGATTGGATACATGTTAACATGCATTATATACAACACCATATAATAGGCATTAAGTGTACGACATTCATGTATCTCATTATTTTTTTAAAGCCTTTGCAGATTTTAAATTTACATCTCTCTCTCTCTATCTCTCTCACACACACACACACACACACACTTACTCATTCTCTTTTTCAATGTTTTTATCATGATCAAGGAACTGCTGGAAACCAGGCACCGCAGCTTTTCAATTGCCCAGCATCTGCTTCTGGGGTTTTAATTCCACCAGCAAACTCAGTTGCTGTTCTCTGGACACCACCCACTGCAACCGATGATTCTGGCACACCAGCTTTAACAAGTACTTTCCAACCTGGCAGTCAGTTTTTTGTTGGTGTAACTCCTGTTACGTACACAGCAAGGGATGCAGCTGGGCTGGCAACTAGCTGTTCCTTCCAGGTCACAGTTACACAAGGTTTGTATAGACCATGATTGTTATGTATTTCAATATATGTAAGCCAGTCCCATGATTTTGTCATTTTGGACCCATTCTTTAACCCATTTCCTATTGGAACCGGGTGGTCTCTTCATCAAGCCAATGGGAATAAAAGAATTCAGTACTCACTAACCGGTTTAAGTATCACAATAGTAAATAATTAACATTAAATGTATCACCACCTATAGGGTACTTTAGAGGTTACTTCTCTTGGCTCAAAATGCTATTAGCTCAATAGCAATAATGATAATAATGATTATTTGTAAAGTGCCATACCGTATTTGCCGGCAATAAGGACGCACCGCTGCATAGGCCGCACCCCAACTTTGACATTTCAAAGAGGGGAAGAAAAAATACATAACGGACAAAACAAAATAATCATAATTTTTTCGAACACTACTTTTTTTTTACAAACTGATACGAAATTCATCAATATTCTTATAATTTACTGGAAGTTTAGCTAAAAAAAGTGATCGCAGGCAGATTTGGTGTCCGATATATACCGCAACCATAATGTACGGTGTAATGCGAAACTGCATGAAATGGAAAACAAAATGGCGACAGCAAGGGATGCAGCTGGGCTGGCAACTAGCTGTTCCTTCCAGGTCACAGTTACACAAGGTTTGTATAGACCATGATTGTTACGTATTTCAATATGTAAGCCAGTCCAATGATTTTGTCATTTTGTGACACATTCTTTAACCCATTTCCTATGAAATCAGGTGGTTTCTTCATCAAGCCAATGAGAATGAAAGAATTCAGTACCGGTAGTCACTAACAGGTTTAAATATCACAATAGTAAACTTGATTAACATTAAATGTTTCTCACCTATAGGATACTTACAGGTTACTGTGTCCATACATTACTTCTCTTTGTTCAAATATGCTTTTAGCACAATAACCCTTACATCATTAGCTTTTGTTTGATATTTAACTCAACTCTATAGAGAGGGATGGAGATACAGTAATAGCTTTTAAACCATGAGAAAACAAAAGTTTTCAAAAAGGGTTTTACGAGAAAAATTGCTTGACTTCCATTCGGTTTTAAGCATGAGCATTTTTAATTTCATTGTCAATTTCATTTTGAAAAAGGCCCTAGCAATCACTTTTCAATTTGAATAAAACCTAGTGTATCTGTTTCTTCATAATCTTTTCCCATGTTTCATTTTTGGGAAGTATGAACCCTAATTCATTTTCAGAATGAGAAACTTTCATTTGATTTTCAGACTTCCAAACTCATTTTTAAATTCAGAATGATAAAACTTGGTAACTACTGAATGCAAAAATATTTCCAGATGAATCCAATAAAATTTTGACAAGATTACCATGATTAATTAGTTCTGTATACTGTACCGACTCTGAAAAAAAAATGATTTCATGCATTATTCCTCCAGTTTTTTTGTATATAGCTAAAGAATTCTCTGTTTTTAGAAGATGAAAAATTGAAACACGCCCTGACCAGAAGATTATCAATATTTTTATTCTCTCTTTCTAAATCATGAACTTGTGATCTCGACATGGTTCCTTTTCTCTCTTTTAAAAGTGAACTTTATTATATATTTCGTATTTGTATTTGATACACAGTGAGATGAAGTAAAAATGTAATTTTTCTCCTTCAAAAATAACACCAGTGTCGTAGTCTCGATGTAGTTCCTGTTCTTTCTCTTTTAAAAGCTACCTTTCTTTTCTTTTCTTTTTTTCAAAGAGCTTTAGAATTTGCCGCTTTTTAAAGACTAGGAATTAAGACATGCCCTGACCAGGCGATTATTGATATCTTTAATTGCTCCTTCTTAATTATGCCCTTGAAATAATGGCACAGTTCCCATACTCTTTTTTAAAAGCTATCTTTCTTTTCTATTCACATTTAAGACAGCTATGAAATATGCTGCTTTTTAAAAGAATGTGCAAACTGGGAAAATTCTTTACAGAGATCACATGACTGTGAACCACCAATGGCCAATTAAAGCCATATGTCACTGAGGGGTGGGGCTTAGCAAATAGTTTGACGTCATCAAAAATGTAATTATGAGCCAGAGCAATATAACACTGAGTTCCCATAGGAAATCTATTTATTCAGCGAATACTACACATATTTCATTGGTTTTCGACATATGAACACTATTTTTGATGCTCTTTCGGAAAATGAAGAAAAAATTGAGAAATTCCAAAAATAGATTTTCATCATGTCAGAGCTTCGGTACTCTATAAAAGAGCTGACCAAAATAAGCACTCGCAAAAACTGCCTTTTCGACCCTTTCCTGCTTTCCTCTCACTGGAATTTTTTTTCAGAACATTCATGAAACATTGAACATATGAAGAATTAAAAATAAATTTGTTAACAAATTTTGATTTTTTTTTTTTTTTCTTTCTTTTTTCTTTTTTCTTTTTTTTCTTCCTTACATTCCCCCCTATTTTTTCAAGTTTTGTTGTGATGGTTCACATATGTACCAGAAGAAGTAAATGATATATAAGGAGGGGCAACTCCAGGGTTTGGTAAACGTGGGGCTCTATATAATATCCCCAAAATTTCTAACAAAATATGTTTGTCAAAATTCCCCAACAAAACCTCAGACAAGTATAAAAAAAAACATTATATAAAAAATAAGGAATTAAGATGGGGTCCAATTCACAAATACCTACATTTATGACAAGCCAAACAAATATATCTCGCTGACAGAAAGGATTTGGGGGTTGGAGTCTCGAAACAATACTGTGGTATTAAAGACTAATCATAATATTTCATATTGCTCCATTACATGGTCGTATGGGTTTTCACAACCTTTCGTTTTCTCTCTCTCTGTTTCATTACTATTCCAGGTACTACTGGCAACCAGCCGCCTCAACTCTTCAACTGCCCGCAGGTTATAACTCGAGACTTGCCATCTACCTCAAATCAAGTGTCTGTTTTCTGGACAGCACCAACTGCAACTGATGATTTTGACACACCAACTGTGACTCCTTCGATTCAACCTGGCAGTTCATTTCAGGCTGGTTCAACCCCAGTTACATACACAGCAACAGACTCAGCTGGCCTCTCAACTACCTGTTCCTTTTCTGTCATAGTTATAGGTATGATGGTTAATGTGTGAGGATGTACTTTGAAACCTGTATATAAAGACCACTCAGGGGAGACATGGAAATTGGTCTTTATAGGAAGGTGGTCTTGATGTTCAGGTTGATTTAGTACAATGACAAACCCTATTTAACAAATGCTTCAAAATTATTGCAATGGTGTGAAATTTTGAATGCAGAGTGTATAATATCTTTTTTATAGCATGGCAGCCATGCTAAAGCCAGGGTAATAATCGGGAGCGCCAGGAGGTTCAGATCTGACTGACATGAGCGCTATACAAGAACCCACTATTATTATTATTATTTTAGTATAATGATATGTAATTATTAAAAGAAGAAAATGATGTATTATAATTTGTATGAAGGATTTTGAGCCAACAAGTAAATACATTATTAATCTCCTAGTTCATGCAAAAACGATCTAGATGACTGCATTTTTTAAACAACGCCTCATGGTTTGAGAAAAAGTATCCTGATTACCGGGCAACTTAAAACAATACCTCTCGGTTGTCAAAGAGTATCCGGATGACTATGCAGTATTGTTCCTATATCTCATGGTTTGGGGTTTGCAAACGAGTACAGAACTGAAAACACATATCCATATGCAAAGGCTTAGACGGTGGATGTACATGTGCAGCACTTGCCAAAATACTTGAGAAGGGACATAAGATATATAATACTCTTTGATTTATCTGCAAGTTCATAAAACACAAGGATGTAATGTTAAAAAGATGATGTACTAGGGTTCATATAAATAATAATATAATAATAATATTGAATAAATTTTCTTTCTTGGGATACACATCACACTTGCTTTGAAAATACTTCACTTGTGCCGACTCGTAAAATATTTTAATCAGATAATGTAATACACCCTTGCATTCCACTCAAGGGTATTCAATATTTTATTAATCTCATTTAATGGACAATTGATAGCCATAATAATTATTCCCTATTTGAATGGCAAATTAATGAATATACATGTAGAACATTTTATAGTGTAATATTTGTGAGCCTTTGTTTTCATATTACGCAGAACAAGAAATAAAGAAAAACAGTACTAAAACACTGCATTTTTGTTCTTCTGAAGTATGATACCCAAGAAATTGACGAAAAATTGATGTATTTCCTTGGAAATGAAGTTTAATGATGTACCATAAATCAGAATATTATTTTTTAATTGATTTTGAAAATTTCTCAATCTATTTACTCCAGAAAGTACATGTTCAATTCATTGGCCCCTTAAAGGGGAATTAACCTCTTGACTATGATGCATTATCATGACAGAGTACAACAACGTTTCATTTGATATAAAAAGCATTGCTGTATGCCAAATGCGCCATATTTATGACGTCGTCTACTCCCCAAGGAATTTCCCTTCTAAACTTCTGGGTTGTGACGTATCGCAAGGAGAGCAGCACGCTTGCTATAAGCACGTCAAACATGGTGTACTGCCAAGTGTTTGGTTGTAATTATTGTTCCTCAAAAACCAAGGGGAAATCGTGTCATCGGTTTCATGACCGACATAATTGCGATGAAATTTTCAAGCTATACGTAGCAGCTCTGAAGGTGCAGAAATTTCTGGACAAAAAGTTCTAGTACAACAGGAAAAACTATTCACAGGATTCTGAAGAAGAGTTACGTCCTCCCTTTCGTCAAATGTATGATTTTTCAGTTTTGAATGGCCTACAAACTGAAATTAACATGTAGTTGAGGTTAATTTCCCTTTAACACTGCAGTTGCTTTCTTCGCCTCTCCATGGTGCACTCCTCTGCAAGACGTGCAACTTTGCACAGCATAATATATTTGCAAAATTACCCATTTCTGGTCTTAATGAGCTCCTCCATGACAACACTGATTGAAAGATTGATAGATTGATCTTGAAGCCTTTGGTATATCTATCCCATAAATAATACAATGTGGCACAGGGAGATTATATGTGTATATGTGTTCTCTATAAAGAGTTGATTTACCATGCAAGTGAGTATTGCATGTATGAGATCTTTCTGTGGCTGTTTGTTTATATCATCCTTTTTCTCCATGAATGTATAAACACAGATGTAACAGACCCAATGTTGGTGGGATGTCCATCTGGGGCTACAGGAATGCTTCTCCCTGGACAAAGCCAAACTACAGTAACTTGGAATCCGCCCACTTCGTCGGACAACTCTGGACAATCCACACAGACCTCTACTTATAGCCCCCCTGCTTCCTTTCCGTTTGGAAACACTCAAGTCACGTATACTGTGACTGATGATGCAGGGAATTCTGCTATGTGTACTTTCACTGTCACAGTTACCTCTCAAAGCACAGGTAGGTGTATTCATGGAAAAGATTGAAATAATTCTGATTTTGATTGTTTAATAGTCTTTTTAACAATATGTTGATTTGCCATTACCATTTTGCAATTGATTGGAAAATTTTTTGTTACAGGGCCCAAAAAAAGGAGTATTGATGAATGATTCAAGGACAGATGATTGGTTACATTTATATTCAATCATGTTAATATTAACATCATCACCTGCAAGTCTATGTAATTCTACTGTATCTATACAGTCCTGCTGTCAGGGAAAACCTTTTCTGTTAATAATTTTTCTCAAAAGTGTGAGCAGTATAGCCCTCATGGGCACCACCATGGATTTGCTTCTGGTTTATAAATATACATGTGTACATAATCAGTGATATTTTAAGTGAATTCGCTCTCTATAGGGTTAGCCCTATCACCATCACACAGAACATGGAATAATTTATCTATTTTCCTTCAATTTGTTTTACATAGACACAACTCCACCAGAAATCGTTTGTCCTGGCAACCAGGAGGTATTAGCACCAAACGGCCAAAGTGTTTTGGTGAATTGGAACCAACCAACACCTAATGAGCAGGCTACATTAGTAGCAAGCAGGACTTCCAACACACCCTTTAATGTTGGAAGATATGCTGTAGTGTACACGGCGACCGATCCATCTGGCAATGTTGGACAGTGCTCCTTCTATGTCACTGTGACAGGTAAAGATTAAGAATATAGTGTTACTTGATTTTTATGCCTCCGCAACGTAGTAGCCGGAGACATGTTTTCGGGTTGTCCGACTGTCCGTATGTTCCGTTCTTATCATTGCGTTATGTCAAGAACAAATTGATGCATTCCCATCAAATTCAAGACATATATGTATCTTGTAGAGCCAATGAACTGATTAGGTTTTGGGGTCACTAGGTCCAGGTTCATGGGGCTTATTATTAGTGCTGTAGCCGAACCGCTGAACATGGCACTTCTGAACCGAGCCGAACCGAGCCGAACCGAACCAAACCGAACGCAAAGGCCTGGTTCGGATGTTTGGCAAAAAAATATTTAAAAGTTTTTGCAAGCTAATTAACTTGTCACTTTGTACCTAATTTTCATGTCATGATTGCTCATTCTATATTTACCTTTTTCTGATTTTCCATCTTTGTGATTTATGCCTCTCAAGTGGTTGGCGCGACTTCACTGATGCAATTTAAATCCCAAATCCTGACCTCTGCAACGTCCCGATCGCAAGCTATAAACAAGAATACACGTGCGTACTAGGTGCTGATTAAAACAAGTTTGCCTCAAACCCAATCAATAAAATAATTAATATTTTAATTGTAACAATATCGAACAAATTTTACAATATAAATAATGAAATAAATGTATATTATAGGATTTTTATTTATGTATTCAAGAAAATAAGGTACTTTGTTTTTTACCTTATTAAAATTAAACATTTAAAAGAACAGAAAACGAACGAGCCTGGGCGTATATCCAAAATGGCAGCTTCCATGAGTCGTAACATATTAGACAAAAACCGTCTCAACAAATCTTTAAAAAATATCATTTATTGTCAAATTGAAAAAATGCTTCTTGTAAAATTGCAAATAAAACACAATTGAAGACGGAAATATGAATGTAAGTACTACTTTTCTTCACATATAGTTACGTTTAAAGCAGATTTTTTATGTGAAATTTGTGCCGAAGCAGTGTTTTTCATCAGGAGTGGTAGGCAGATGCAGAAGAAGCTCCATGCTGGTCGGCCCGCCAGGCCTGGCCGCCCAGTGCCGCCTACCGTAGCTATATTAACGCTGCTTGATATTATATTACCGAACCCCGAACCGAACCAAGTTCGTGTAAAAAATTGCCGAACTCTGCCAAACCGAACATGGCGCCTGACTTACAGAACTACTTATTATGTATGCAAAGATAGCTTGTGATTCCATTATCATTAGAACCAACATAAGGATTACTATCAACTCTAGACATGTATATGCATCTTGCTGAACCAATGAACTTATTAGATTTTTGGGTCATGAGGTTAGAGATCAGAGGATCACACATGTTTGTGTAAAATAGCATGAAATCACAATATTCTGAGAACCTTTTAATGGATTACAATCAAACTTGAATTTTAAAAATTGCTTCTGTTTTGGTTTATAAAATCGCTCTATTGGCGGAGGCATCATTTTCGTCTGCGCGCTGTAGATGATCCATCTAGTTTGTCTTCTTCTTCTCCCCTTCCCTCCCTTCTTTGTTTTTGTTTTTTGATTGAATGATATACCACAATTAAAGGGTCAATGAATTAGAAGAAATAACATAGCTTCTCCAAGAATATTAGAAATAACGATAGGATAGCTGCTGGAATAATATGTGTGTACTTACCTATTGCATACAGGAATCGGGTGCCTCCTGCATTATGGCCCATCAGAATGAAAGTATTCAGTTTTCTGAAACTCAATGAATTTATTTAAGATAAATGCAATACAAAAGTCATTGTTCAAAGGGAAGTCCACCTAGTAAAAAGTGGTTTCGATAGGGCAAAATATGAGAAGAATATACCCCTGAAATTTTGAGGAAGATCGTTTAGGGTATAAATATATACAAATTTATGAATTTTGTTTTTTATAGGACTGGCAATTTCAATATGAGTAACTCTCTACTTGTGTATTGATAATCGTTAAAAAAAATAAAAAATTATTGCTGTTTGAAAAGATATATTTTACAAAGTAGGTGTGTAAAAATAATTGATAAAGATCCGGGGAACACATAAGAATGACATATTTTCCTTTGAAAAAATTAGAAAGTATTGAAATTATTTGTTAACAAACAATTGAGGGGTGCAGAGTTGTCAGTTTTCCTTTCTCAAATTTTCCTTTAAATTTGTATTGATTCTTTTTCTCTTAGTTTTCTCCTTTTTATTAAAACCAATCTCACATTAGAATGGAATTTCTTAAATTGTTGAAAAATGTATTTTATATTAATCCAAGGGTGAAATGGCTGAGTGTTGTGTTGGGTTTGTATACACATGTACATTGTACAAAACCAATTATTGTCATGTGTTGGACTAAAATCATAAAAAACAATGATAAATCTTTACTCTTGCTTTTTTTTCTCTTTCTGGTATGCAGCTAATGATGGAAGAGCACCTCCTGTCATTAATAATTGTCCGCAAGATGCCCAGACGATTGTTTACGAAACATATAATAGCGTTAACTGCAGCGCTCGATACACAGAGCCTTCTTCAATTCAGGCTGGAGTTGCAGTCACAGTCTCTCCTGCTAACAGCTCACCACTGAATAACTATGCAATCGGCGATTATCTGATTGTGTACTCATTCACCAACCAGCAGGGATATCAGACAGACTGTGCTATAGACCTTTCTGTTATACGTAAGTATGATATATCACTATGCCCCACCCTTTTATTATCAAGAGAAGGAACATGAAGCACCTATTCATGCTATTTTAATACATATACAGTCCCACTTGGTGAATCTCTAAAGACAGTGTCAATCTTATTTTAAAAATAAATATAATCATATCTGAAGAGGTGTTCCAAAATCAACTTCAAGAAATCACCAAGTCTCAACCTTATAATGTGCTAACTTTAATGTAAATCATATGTCTATTGTTATACATGGTACTCTCTTAAAAATATAATCTGATTTGCTATATTGAAAGGTAAAAGCAACAAAGCAAGGGATTGGACTTTTATTTAATCATGATTTATCATTACTATTCACAATGTCTGTTTAAAACACTTGCTGCACAATAAAGGATCAAAATGTGTCTCATGTGACCTAACTATAAAGGCTTTCAGGAAAACATTGCAATACCAGTCATTTTTTTTCCTCCTCCTGCTAAATGTTGTGCTACACCTAAACACCCTTCACCGATCGTATTTCTTCTTGCTATCCAGAGGGTGTTAACATTTGCCGATGTAACCCCTGTCCCGATCCGGCTTGCTACTTCAATCCAAATGATGATCAGGAGTTCTACTGTCCCAATGCACAGACACAAGGAAGAAGGAGTAAGAACAATACAATTCACATATTATAACAATATTTGTACCCAAATTCTTAGCCCAGGAACACTATAATGTTTTATTTCATTCTACTAAAAGTGTTTTTGTTGATTCAGAATGAAAATGCTTTAAGGCCATTGTCATCATAAATTAGATCATTATCCTTTATGCTATTTTACACATCAGCATACATGTATGCAACGTATTAGTATTCGTATCCAAAGTCACCTGATTTAAAAATGAAAAGAATGATTGTTTGGATCACTTCCTTTTGTCATCAAATTAGCAATGTTGTAGATATTTTTGGATCTTGTGTACATGTACATACACATATTTTCATGTTTTAGGAGAAAAGGCTACATGTATTTGTATTATGTTCTTTTTAAAGTTGTGCAAACATGTAATTATGATTAAATTTTTATTTTGAAGGTAATGCCAGGTTTTTAGGCCTGCCAAAGATTATGTAATTTTATTTGGCATTTCACCCTTTTTTATGTGCTCTTCTTGATAGGTGTGAATGTGTATTCGTTTAATGTTGTGTTGAATTATTTTAGTTACCATCCTGGTTATCTTTCATTCTTGTGATGTAAATGTACAATTAATAATGTGAAGTCAAAGGATACTTGAAGATAGTTTACTTGATCTGTACTATTGTTTATTAGTAAAATAAATTATGCCTCATAGATACATTTCTTGTTTGGGCCCATAATTCAGGGGGATCAACCATAAGTTATTAAGACCGATGACTTTCTGCAACACACCACAATTTATAAGACTTGGGGAGTGTTTCACAAAGATCCTAAGTTGAACTTATCTCTAAGTTGGACAATTATGGAAAGCCCTTGGCATCTATGAAAATATTTTGTAAAAGTCATTTTAAAAGACATCAAATGTTGATTCAAATCTTTCGTATTTTCTATTATCAAGGATATTTTATGTTCTTGATGTTGAATGTATAAAAAGTACTTGAATTTTCGCTTTTGAATATATTAAAATTTTTAAGGCTACAAATGGCTCTCCAAAATGTTGAAGTCTAACAAAGAGTTAAGTTCGACTTTGGATCTTTGTGAAACACCCCTCTGGTCTGGTTTAGAGATTATGGGGGCAGCATAAATATTTCTTAAAATGGGAGGACTATGAAAATCCATACATATCCTAGCAAAAAATAGGGCATGATGACCAATTTATCTATTGATATTTGCAGTTTGCAATATTTTCTAAAATTGTCTATTTAATTCTCTACAGAAAAGAGGAAAGCACACTGGGAGGAAACTGGTAAGTATAACAATTTGCATTGATTAGATAATTTAAGTGTATCAATCACTGGAAAGTATTTTGCTTTGTATGTTTCATGTCGTTAAACAATATTCCCAAGATAAGCTTCACATACAGCTTCTACTATAAAGAGATTTGGCAAGTTTAAATAATGATAATAATAAGAGCTACATTTATATTTCATACATATCTGCCCCAGGGGATGCTCTGGGCACCTACAGAGTACTATTATTACCCTGGCTCAATAACCATAAAAACATGTTAATAAGATTCCAAAATGTGATGTGCGTAATGGCTATTTGGACCCTGCAGTTTACTGAAACAGTTTCCTCAGGCATGTGTGAATGATGCTTTACAAAAACTAGTTGCCAGCTTTAAGACAACAGACACAATTTAGTATTTATCTAGTCAATAAACAGGTCTTGTCAGATTTCTTGAGCATTGATTATACCATTGTCTTATCATCTATAGTCATATTGACAGTGGAGCGCGGCAGTGTAGTAGTGTTTTAAGCTCTGTCATTTATCTCCTCTGTCTGTCCTTCAGTTGAACACCAGCTTGAGTTCACCTGCGCATGTGAACATGGAGGACGCTGTTTGGAGACACCTGAGGGAGATGTGACCTGCCAATGCCGACCGGGATACTCAGGAATCCTCTGTCAACATGGTAAGAGTTTTTATCCACCTTCTAGATAAAGACATGAGAGCATCTGGCCTCAGCCAGGTAGATGCTGAAGACAAGAAGGCTTGGAGAAGAGCAATAAGTGAAAGAAACATTCAACCCAACATCATGGGGAAAATAGACACCAAATAATGGTGAAGATCATGATGATACTACCTCTCACTTACTCATACATTTCCATCATTTTCTCTCAATTTTATCTCACACGTTCCTAATGTACTTCCTACATTGGAAATGGCAAGTATTACTACTATTAGGTATTATAGTCATATTCAAGTCAAGTGTAAACCACAGACCTTAACCCTTTTGATATTGTATTTTGATCTTGCATCTAATAATGACTGCAAAGAATTCGATTTTCATCTTGAAATTCATATTGGTTCATAATTGTGAAATAATTGTATTATATTGACTGGGCTTGAGGGGTTTATTAGAAATTTTGACCAAACTAAGATCACATTGCCCAAAGTCGAAGACAAGGGCAATATGGTCTTAGCGCGGTCAATATTTTGTATGTACCCCAAAAGTAGCCCTGTCTATGTAATTAATATTACCTATAAGAGGCATTTTTTTACAAATGATATACAACTTTGGTATCAAGCATGATTTTTATTCACCATGTATGCATGTATTCCCCTTACTCTTGTCCAGAGATAAAAATGTATGAAAATGTAATTGTGTCATAAATTGTTGCCACGCGTACACTTTAACGCCTACACACTACTGTGTGTATGCACTTTAATAAAAGTGCACTGACAAGAAAGAGTGGAATATGTCAGAATGTTGCCCTCTAATTTAGTACAGTGGTTTATGGGGAAAATCTGGAAGAAGGCAATATGGCAAATGTTGCCCGCTCTGGTTTTGTATTTGGAGTAGCATGCAGAATATGTCTTTTTATTTTGCAGCTAAAATGCCTTGTATAGGTAATAATATATAATATAACAATATTGGATCAATATGAACAACAAAAGCTAAAGGGCACTTTGATGGGAAAGTTGTCTTGGGAAGTTATGTTTGATACCTGTTGTATAACTTGATGGCTTCGCAAGGGTTGAGGCACATTTTATCATGTTATTTCTTCTTCAGATGATATCCTGAAAGTTGATGTTCCACCTGCGTTGCTTGGTGAAGATGCCTGCTCCTCATCCCCTTGTCTTCATAATGGTACCTGTATAGTCCAGATCCAGGAACTTTACACCTGTTTCTGCCTATCAGACTGGACTGGGCAAAATTGCGAGTCATGTAAGTATACTGAAATTATTTCCACTTTTGAAAAGTTGAATCTATTGGTAAGCAAATTTTGAGATCTGTTAATAAAATTCCCACTCAGAGATTGAATGGCTCAAGTTCTGAACTTTTTACTTTTCTTTAGGTTGGCAAAACATATAAACTCGTTAAAACGTGCTGAAAACAGATGGTGAAAAGGACAACTGACATATCTGCATGCAGTTTCCATGCTCATTACCGGTACTCACATGCATTTATTGCATATTTCTACCAAGATTATTTGGCAGATATCATTTAGTATTAGTGTTGAAACCTTGGTAAGAGTAGGTTTTTAATACTGGAAAACCCTCCTGCTTGAGAAATATTTATCTTCCTTATTCTTACTTTCTGCAGACTTTGAGGTACACCACAACTTTGGTGGACATCAGGACTTGGAAAGAGTTGAAGACAGGTCTGGCTTTATGAACTGGCCTACCTTAGCAGCAATGGGCCTGCTTGTCCTAGTAATCTTAATCCTCTCCATCACTATCTGTAGGATTATGCCCCGCATATCTGGTAGGACCAAGACCCGCCCAGATGAAGTAGCATTTGTCAACTAAATGCACACAACCATACTTGTACATGTTTAGTTTAAACACTCCCAAAAGGAGTTTAAATGAGGTTAACATTGCAAGATTTGTACTTATGGCAGCATAATATTTGGCATTGTGCTGAAGACCAGGGTACTGTAATTTGTTTTTCTGAATGAAAGAAAGTATTTACCGGTGATATGATATATACTAGCAATGATATGATGTGTAGAATCACCATTAAAATAACCAATGTCAAAGAACTGCATATCATTTAAATATATTAATCTAATAACTAACCATTAAGTTGGTACCCCCACTTATTGGAGCGACATATGTTTGTATGTATAATTAAACAATTCAATGTTATTTTAGCAATCATGCATCTATCTTACTCTTCCATATCGTAATTCTGTACAGGCTACAAGAATGTCAGATTGGAGCTCTATTTGTTTCAAATTGTTCTGTACATTCTTGGCTTGAAATAGAAATAGTGGTGTACTGAATGATGCAGAATAAATATTTGGTATTATATCTATTATATTACATTACTCAGAACATATTTTACATCTTCAAATGTTCTCATTAAATTTATCATGTTGTTTTGCTCATACATGTACGTGTATATTGTACTAATTGCCTTTATTTTTAATCCAAGCTGTTAGATTTTTTGATGGGAAGAAATGATTACTCAATATCAATCATGCCATTTCTTTTTGTATCATATTTGTATCGTGGTAGAGGGATTTTCTTATTTTAATTCATGTTTAGCTATCACAAGAATATTCTGTACGGGACTCTCTTTCTGATAATGATAACTAACAATCACATGCTGATTGCAAATCCTGAATAGAGTTTGTCAATATGAACCTTAATGTTTTGTGTTTTGTAGTCGCACTTGCTTTAGACTTTGATGTAAGCAATAGCTGGTCTCTGTGCTTTTTATCAAAATTAAATCATGTGTTTAACTGACAATTTCAGATGTTTACTTTTCTGATTTGTCGATTTATAAATGTGATTTAATGCAGCACATGAGGAACCAGAGTTTTGTAGAAATTCAACAGACAACTTATATTCTGTATTCATGGTCTTTCATATTTGCATGGCAACGTGTTGCTCTTTTGTCTTTCTTTTAATGCAGTTGGTAAATGTATTCTTTCAGATTAATAGAAATATTCTCTATTTTAGATGGTGTTTTATGTTATATATATGTATGTCCAGAAGAGAATGAAGAATTGCTATACTCTTTGTTTCACATTATCAATTGTGAGAATCAGTGTCTTTCCATTGCACATTATATTCAGGTTACCAATTATAGGTACGTATAGCTTTTTTTTGTTTATTTAGAACATTATTATTCTTGATTTGTCTTAATGTTACAAATTGTTGAGTAAATTTGTTTACATATTGAACCAGGTGTATAAAGAGACACGTGTAACATGAAAATAGAATACTATTCACTAGTTATGGTATCTTTATGATAAGCATTCATTCCCAATTTTATGCAAGTATTTTCTGAAATTACAAGGACACTCACAATTAACAATTTTTTTGTCTTCCATTTTCATTTCATGCACTTTTTGATAAATACTGTAATGGTGGAGAATACATTTTAAACCTGTCTTTTATTGGTTTCTAATAAAGCAGTGCTGCTTTGGAAGCGATATCTAAGGATATTTTGTTCTTTCTTCTATGTCAAAGTGTATGTACTATATTCTCATGATGCTTTTCATGTATGCAACACATAGTTGATTGTTGTTATTGTTTACATATATATATATATATATATATATAATATATATATGTTAAAGTGACTCTGTAACATTGTTAAAGGTTGGTGAAAAAACTGTGTAATTTTGGTAAAAAATGTTACTACTATATTCCTTCTACTGTTCTAACCCTCTGAACATGCAAACAAATATTTAGGGTTTTCTTTAAAGGCGTCACTGTTCAAAACCCTGTAACAGTAAATTCCCCAACCAATTTTTGAATATTCCCGACCGTTTTTTCATGAAAATAATACCTTAAACAGACTTTAAAAAAAAAAATTAACTTTTAAATGTTTGGAAAGGTACAAGAGCCAATTCATTGCCTTGTGGTGATTTACGTCGGCCTAAAATGTAATTAGAATATAATGAAATAGGAGAATTAAGGTTCGGTCATATCAGTTTTTCCCAAGTTTTATCATTAACAATGGTCCGTTTTCACTCAAACTTTCAGATTATCTTTTTATTGTACATTTAGCATTGAAGTCACTGCCTTAGCACCATTTTCTCTAATCTAAAAAAAGATACCAATTCCGTTTAACATTTTGCTTCCATGCACACAAACTTTGTATGATGATTTCGCATTGTTTTAATGAATGGCTATATGTTGTAGAAGTATGGTAGCATGATCCAACAAATAACGAAATCATCTTGCCACCACCCTAGCAATGAGTATGCGTAAAGATCTTTTCTCAAATATATGATTTCTCATTTCATTATATCTCGAAGATAAGAGTAATAATGTTTAAACCTAAATATTGTAATCTTAACAACTGGATGTTTTGTAACGGCTAAGGTGAATAGACCGATGGAGTTACTCCACATGATCAGTGGCAGTGGCGGATCTAAGGGGGGCCCCCTCCCCTTGCCCCCAAAAACTTCACCTTTGTTGAAGAAAAAAATGAAGACGGATCCCCTCCCCCTAGCTCAAAGGGGAGGGGGGGGGGGTTGTTAAATATTTTCTCACGAATTGGTAAGAATACAAAATAAGCCATACAAATGTGACATTTGTGCATTGCTTTTCTTTTGATGTTAATTTGTCACTTGATATACTTCGTTAGCAGATATCTCTCAATACACAGGTAACTATCCCCAGTGAAGGTGCATAATTTGTTACTTCTCTACTAAGCACAAGCTATATTATACACAGATCCTACATTACGTCAGCTCATATGCAGTGCATGAAATCTCCAATGTCCACAGACATTATTTGGTTGAAGCATTTCAAGGTTTATTCAAATATATCTTCGCAGCCGTTGATGGCTGAATTGCGATACAGTTTAATTAAAAACATGCAAAATTACAAATATACATATCAATTACAATGAACATAGATTGGCATGAATTAAAAATTAAATATAAAATATAGAAAAAGAAAACCAAAGAGTTCAAATGTGAGTTTCAGACAAAATGGGTCGTTCAAATTAAATCAGGAGTATAGTGATTATTCAAAACCAGAGTAAACATCTGAAGACAAGACGAGAAATTACAAAAGATTATATTCAATTCAAATGAGGTTTTATTCGAGACTTGTCAAAATGTCCAAAGACTAAAAATGCAAGTTTACATCAAACATACAATCATATAAAAAAAACATTCTAAAACATATTATAGTATTAATGACTGCTTTGAGAGAAATAGTTGTTTTTATACGCTCTCGGGAAGGTTAGAATTGTGCTATTGCCCGAGGCGTGTTCTAACCTTCCCGAGATCGTATAAAAACAACTATTTCTCGAATATTAAAGCAGTCATTAATACTTTTATATGCCGAAAACAAAAGAGTCAACTAATGACACCACCTTGGCCTTTCTCTAGTTTATCTGCACAGTTGTTTTTTATGAGTGTATCTTTGAGAGTAGACTAGATCTAGATTCTAGTCTAAGCAAGATATTTTTACAATTTTGGGGGTGGGCCGGCCCTGTGGGTAATATGGAGAAGAACCTGCGCTTTCATATGACACCTCACTTATTGAGTATCACCTTCAGGATCACAACAAATAAAGGTTTGAATCTCGAATTGAAAAAAAAAACTTGACTTTTTTTGCATGGTCGCGCAATGCACGTAGACTGCATAGCGACTGCATTGCGTGCAAACTCTATGAGAAGAATTTAAACACACAACATCGGGTGCGCGATCAGACACCCTGACAACTAGATCTATTTTCGTCTAGAGTCTACGTCTATGCTTTTTCAGCAACTAAACAAACATGTTTATGGATAATTTCACGTACCCTTTTTGTTGTTCTTGCTGTCAGCGAGTCTTGCATTTGATAAGTTGAAATCGCGGACATTCTGTCGGTATATCCCCGTGCTACGGGGACTTGCCGCGTTTTACGGGGACATGTATAGACTACGTCCCCGTAACACAATCCCTTTCTGACGGCTCCAATTCTTGTATTTATTGATTGCCCTTTTATACCAAGTTAGCAAGAGTAAATTGTAATTTAAATCCGCTGTCAATTTTACTGGAAAAGCATTTTCCTGTTTTTAAATGAAGTTTACAAAATAGTATTGATCTTCCCAAAGATCATGACGGACCCTCGATTTCAAAGGCAAAATGTCGCCAACTTGCGTTGAATTGTGAACAATCTAGGGTTAGAGCTAGCTCGGTATCATTTCGTCTATTGATTTTCGCCCGGGCGACCAGGATATCCGACTGCGATGCGCGCCATATCTCTACCGGCCCGGGCTAGCTAGCTGGTCGACTCGCGGCTCGTGACGTTAGCTAGCTACCGGACGCCGAACGGTGTATGCATGCAAATTTTTGCAGGATCGACATAATTGCTGTCGATGTCGAAGCAGTTTGCTCGACGAGCAGGACGAAGTCTGGTTTGTACTTTCTCGTGTGTTGTTAGTTTAATCATGGACTAGGATAACTTCGAACTACAAATCTATCGTTAAAAAATAACAATTAGGCCTAACATGGCCTCTTTTATTTTGCCTTTGCCTTTAGTCTACTACTTTAGGCCCTGGGGTGGTATTCTGAACATTGTTGTAAGTTTTGTGTTATCTTTTGTTGTATCTCACAGAGATAACACAGCGCTAATATTGTTGTAAGTTGGTATTCTGAACATCATTTTATCCCTGTGTTATCTCTTGAAGGACCGCCTCTATCTTATCTTTGACCACTGATGACACGCCCATTTGTATGGACCCTACCAATCAAAATCTGTTTTATATAAGCATGGTAAGTAGGTCAACCAATAGGAATACTTTATGCCATATCTGAAGATGCACCTAGCGCATACTAATCTTGGGCGTAATTAGTTATTTGAGCGCTTATTACGCGCGTCATCATTATGCGCTGTTGAATGTGGATCATGAAGACAAATCACGCTTTCACTATATTGGTTAAGATGAGAGCATTAAAATCGTCATATCCTAGCATGTAATTTCTTAGAAAGTTCTCATCTGTGATGTTTCCGGTCAACACAAAATCTTCTTCTAACTCGTCTATTGACACGAAGTTGGTTCTTGGCAAGAAATAGTGCCGCCATTATGTCACCACGAAAGATACAACAACCCCCTACCTGTTGTAAATATTGTTGTAAATACCATGCAAGATAAGATAAGATAAAAGATACAACAACTTTCAGAATACCAATTATCTCGACATATGATGTGCAGAGGGAGGACATTTCTGATCGGCTTTGAATTTACTAAATTGTTGTTATTGCTGATAATGATTCTTAGAATGGCCCTGGAATAGTGGCTGCCAGGCAGTCAAATAAAACAGACTTACAAACAAGTATAAATACACTACTATTAACAAGAAAGACAACAAAACAATTGATATCTCCAATACATTCCATAAGGGGGAGAGGGGTATAGTTACCCCACTGCATGTCCCTATGCAAGAATTAGCTTAATTGCTATTTGAGTTAGATGGAAATTTTGTGAATCTACTCAGGGGAATAATCTCAAAATCAATGCAATGTTGTAACCACTTCACTTTGTGAACGACGTTCAAAGGGGGAGTTAATCGCTCGACGGAGAAAGTTGACCTTATTTTATACCGACCAACTATTTTAAGAGACATTTAAAGAATATTTTTAATTGGAGTACATTTGAGGAAGAATATTCTTTTCTGGAATATATCGATTTGTTATTTGCTAGTTAAATGAAACGGTAAACTGGTGAACATGCCTTAATACCCCGTTGATTACTTTGAAAGAAACCAGCTGGGCGGTATTCTGAACCCTGTGTTATCTCAAATGTTGTTGTATCTTTGAAGATAAGATCAAGTTGGTATTCTGAACACTGTTGTAACTTTTGTGTTATCTTTTGTTGTATCTTTTCTCTCATCTCATTGGCTGCGCCTGCGCTCAAAGTTTGGTGCGCTTGTAATTGTGCGTATTATTAATAAAGTGGCGTTTAATCCTCATTTGCATATGCGCACGAGAGATAATATGTCGAGATAATTGGTATTCTGAAAGTTGTTGTACCTTTTATCTTATCTTATCTTGCATGGTATTTACAACAATATTTACAACAGGTAAGGGGTTGTTGTATCTTTCGTTGTGATATAATGGCGGCAATATTTCTTGCCCAGAACCAACTTCGTGCCAGTGTTGACCGGAAACATCACAGATGAGAACTTTCTAAGAAATTACATGCTAGGATATGACGATTTTAATGCTCTCATCTTAACCAGTATTGGGAAAGCGTGATTTGTCTTCATAATCCACATTCAACAACACATAATGATGACGCGCGTAATACGCGCTCAAATAACTAATTACGCTCAAGATTAGTATGCGCTAGGCGCATCTTTAGATATGGCCTAAATCATTCCTATTGGTTGACCTACTTATAATGCTTATATAAAACAGATTTTGATTGGTAGGGTCCATACAAATGGGCGTGTCAATAGTGGTCAAAGATAAGATAGAGGCGGTCCT